CCTCCTGGAAGATTTGTATATGCCTAACGGAAGACACGGAACAAAGAAAACAATGAGTAGAAATCTAATGTCAATCACGATAATCAGCAAATAAGAATTAATGATTACCATCAACAGTCGAAGACAAAGGAGAAAATATTTCTACCGCTTGCATATATATTTTAGGGGTATGAGGTTTTGGAGATATATACTGATATGTTGGGGATTTTTTTCCATACGACGTCGTTTCCAACCAGAGATATTTTATATGGACAGTTAACAATTGGTTAATGAACAGTAACAATTCGGGTTGGGTGTGAACACGAGGTCATAAGGAGATCATTGGAACATAAAGTAAGGACCGTTTGCCATTGCTTTTGAGAAGTGAGTAGTTGCTTTTTTTATTCGACTCGTTTATTTAGCCCATGTTTGGTTGGTATTAAAGTCAGATTTTTAATAAATTTTGATAAAAGTTGACTTTGACTTAGATTAGAATCTATAATTTAATCGGTACCAAACATGAGCTTAATTACATGGAAGCGGTTGTTTTTAGTTGGAATTTTTGTAGAAAGTTTATTTAATGTGATTTCCTTTAAAAGCTTTTTTAGATGTGAAAACTTTTTGATAAGAAGCGAAAACAAAAAATATGCCAAACTGACCCTAACTTTGTGTGGAAAAGTGATATGAAATGTATTTGGAAAATATCTTGACTAATGACAACTTCAACTCAAGCAAAATCTCTGTAAATTAATGTTAAAAGAGTTTCTAGTCCCTATTTGTAACAAATCTCATTTTTTAAAAACTCAGTTTCAACGGCACATTCACATAATAAAATATCTTGCATGTAAATTCAAAAAAATTTCTTACTTTTTAATCACATATTCTCCAAAAAAAAATTACTATTTCAAAACTTAATTTTTCTAAAAAAAATACTATTAAAATGATCGTCAAATAGGGGTTAATTGAATTGAAATCATTATTCTAAAAAACTCGCTTAGGCATCTTGAAATCAGTGTTCTAAAAAACTCGCTTAGGCGATGCCTAAACGAATAATGACAACTTCAACTCAAGCAAAATCTCTGTAAATTAATGTTAAAGAATTTTTCGTCCCTATTTGTAACAAATCTCATTTTCAACCGCACATTCACATACTAAAATATTTTACACATAAACTCATAATTTTTTCTTAATTTTTAATCACATATTCTCCAATAAATTACTATTCCAAAACTTATTTTTTCTAAAAAAAAAAAAACTATTAAAATGATTGTTAGATAGGTGTTTATTAAATTGAAATCAGTGTTCTAAAAAATTCGTTTATGCATGACAACTTCAACTCAAGCAAAATCTCTATAAATTAATGTTAAAAAGAATTTTTAGTCCCTATTTGTAACAAATCTCATTTTTTTAAAAATTAATTTTCAACAGCACATTCACATAATAAAATATTTTGCACGTAAACTTAAATTTTTTTCTGACCTTTTAATCACATATTCTCCAAAAAAATTATTATTTCAAAACTGAATTTTTCTGAAAAAAATTATTAAAATGATTGTCAGATAGAGGTTAATTAAATTGAAATCAATGTTCTAAAAGTTTAGGCTCGAAATTTGGGCAAAACGCCTTGCTTCTCGTCTATAGACTTTTTTTCCTATTTCTAAATGGTTGAATTTTTTCCTTCCTCTCTTTCGTCTTCTCTAAACGCATCTTATTAGTTTTTTTTTTGTTTTTTTCCTTTTATAAAAGTCTTTTATTTGACTTTAACTTATTAAATTTTTTATTTTTAAAAAAACTTTTCATTTGACTTTAATTTCAAGTTTTTTTAAAAAAATTATTTCCACAAAAGTTAAACATGACTTTATTTAAATAATTAAATAAGATTTAAATTTAGGTGTATGATCTTGAAACTCGTTATTTTGTTGTAAACTCTAAAAACATCTATGAGTTCCTATAAATCTATTTAGTAGGATTTGTCTAGTTGAAAATTGAAATTATGAAAAATATTATAATTTTGCAATTCGAAAATTTGAAACTTGTATAATTGACTTATGATATGAATTATTAAGTAAACATAGTATTTTATAATTTTAAATATTTGATATGTATTATTTTAACGATTAAGTGATTTTTAAAATGATTAAAAATAAAAAAAATGTTTTTTTTACACTTAGTCTTGCTTAATGATGCAGGAGGATCCGAGTCAAAGGAGGTCGAACTGTCCGATAGTACGTTAATAGCGCTGAGATACCATGAGTTGGCGGATCAGCGTAAAATTGGCAATAATCATCGACATTTCCTAATTGGGGTTTTTTGGACACGTTTCGGTATTTTGATCATAACTTTGTCTACGATCGTCAGAATCACATTTATGACTCCAATTCGGAAAGCTCTTTTCGGCGTGCACGTCGTGGTCGGTGTGCATCGTTTTTGAGACCAAATTCAGCTATTTTCCCTTCTGAATCATCAATTTAAGTTATTTTTTTTTGTCATTTGTAGTAATATTTCAATTTCCCTTTTGACATAAGTTACGATCTCAAATTAAGCCAGATTTTTGGAATCTTATTTATGTCATTATGTATTTCATTTGGTATGAATAATATGATTTTGCCATTTTTTGGTAAAATTTCGATAATTATATTTTCTAACTATTTAACCCGACTTATGGGTTATTTTCGTTCAGTTGTTGAATAATAAAAATTTTCTCATTTTTTTGGTGTTATTCTCTTGCGTTATTTTCTATTATTCTCTATTGGTTCCAACCTACAGAATAATTACTATTCTGTCCGGCGTCACTTAAACTCTTAAAATTTGAAACTTTGCCTCCACGATTAACAAGATTTACGTTTTTTAGAATACTTGAAATACAAACAATGGCGTAAATTAACTTTAGCCTCTCGGGAATAATTTATAAATAATAAAAATGAGTGGTTGATAAGTACATAATTTATAAATTTTGTGAAATAGATAGTAATTGAATAGGTAAAATAAAATTCATGGACCAATAATGCAATTTTAAATAACTCAAGTGACTAGCCTATTTGAGTCCCTTTTTTTTTTTATGAAAATGCATTTTGAAATAGTATTTTGAAAGAGAATTTGTGGTTAAAAGGAAAAGATTTGAATTTACGTATAATATTATTTTATTGAAAAACGTATGGTTAAAAATAAGAAAAATAAATGTATTTTGGAAATAATGTTATAATTTTATAATGTGAAATTTTGTAAAAACCTCTGATCATAATAATAATAATAATAATATTATTATTATTATTATTATTATTATTATAAGCAAGGGTTTTACAATTTCACCTCTATTTTATAACTCGAAGGTCCAATACTAGTACTGCGCGACGTGAACAAATCTCTCCTCTTAACAGTTTCTTAGGCCCCTTACAGCCTCACCCTTGAATCCAGTTCAGACTCTTTTCTGTAAGTCTTTTTGTTTCTCTCTGAATATTTAGGGAAAACGATTATATTTTTCCTGTTAAATTTTGGTATTGGCATGATTTGAAGACACGGGTCTTGTTCTTTTTGACATATTTCGATTGTTGATTAATTTTCGCAATAAATTGATGTGGTTTTGTGGATGGAAAATTAGTATGTTATTGAGGTCTGTGATTGCAGAATTTCATGGAAAATGCGAAATTTATATTACTAACTCTTTATTTTTGTGTTTATATTGTCCAGTTATTAACAAAGTGTTGCTTCCATTTTTCTTCAAATGGGTTTTCTTTATCTTCCCATCAAAAGTTCTCTTTCAGATAGCTGTCTTTGACATTCTAAAACATGGCCTCAGTTTTTTCGAAATGAGAAATCTTACAATTGTTTAAGCGATAAAACTGAAAAGTTAGAGCTTACAATATTCGATTTCGGTCTTTCACCGCTTCACGGCTTCACCTTCAATGTTCTTCAGCAACAGGCCAACAGCTTCAGCCTTCAGACTTCAGTGCTCCGCCCCTTCCACAGCCTTCACTGTTCTTCTTCTTCAGCAAGTACTACAGTTCTTCTTCAGTGCCTTTTCACAAGTACTACAGTTTTATTTTATGATTTTCATTTATGAATGATTTTCTTGGGCTATTTTTGAAATTGTTTTGGATTCTAATTGCTTGTTCAATTTGTTTATTTTTGCAAACTTATACTCAATTTGATGTATTTTAATGATTTTTATTTAACTGTGATTGAGTGAAAATTGGGGATAAAAGTTGTGATTTAGTCAGTTACTCATTTAGCTGTGATTTTTATTTGTTCACATGTGATGCTTTGATGATAGACATTTGGAATTGTGAATTGTCAATAGGCCATAATTTTTATTGGAGAATTGTCAATGCTTGACAAAATTGGGTGTTGATGGATTATGATATCTTTGCACGTAGAAGCAGAGATAATCGTGCTAAATTTTCTAGTTTTGTCATGGTAAAGATGCTTGAAGGGCGTATTAAATATTGTACTAAATTAGGAATTTATTTAGGAAATGTTAGTTTGGGAATTTAGCCATGTTAAATTTTTCTTGTTATAATCGTGCTAAATTTTTCATATATAAATTTTATTCGTATATTAAATTTAAAAAAATTTTGCCCCCCCGTACCATTCATTCCTGGCTCCGCCCCTGCTTGCAAAGTTGACTTTTTAGGAGGGAAACCCAAGTCTTAATAAAGGCTACCCTCGTTAAATACATTCGTTTTATTGGTTTTGGAGAATTATGAATTTATATGTTTTATAGCCTTTTGATCTTGGCTCAAAAGATTGGTTGATTTTTATGTACATGTCTGTTCTCTAATGTCAGGTTTTGTTTTTAGTTTTTATTATATTACTCGGTATCGTGCTATCCTCTCTCTCGTCTCGTGGGAATAGTAATTATTGAGCTATGAAGAATCAAATTCTACAATTTGCTGACAACTAGTGTTTAAATGGTTATTGCATTCTGTTCCCAATCACTGTTCCTACGGTGGAATTCAGCTACATTGATCTGATATATTATATAATTTCTGAGACTGAAGGAGTTGAGATTGGCATCCTTATGAATGGCTTGGAGAGCAGTAGGAAAAAAGGTGTGCATTGATATCATTTCCTTTTACCCCTCCAGTTAGTATACTTTTGTTGCTAGTTTGTTTCTTTTTTTCTGTTCTTTATTTACTCTTCGTTGTTCTCTTTCTTTATGGAAAATAGGCAAAAAAAAGGATTTTTCTATTTAGCTGCACACACTGAATGCTCTGTTACACAGCATATAGCAGCCACACACAATAGTTGGTTCGTTTGGGATGGCATCTGCCTAGAACTTTATTGACACCAGCACTTGCACCCTCTGGATTATTTTGTTCTCTAGCCCATTTTTTGTTTAGTAGATTATGTTGAATAATTTTTAAAAATTATTATTTGATGATTTTGAAGCTGCTTATCTTCACTTCACGATAAATGGCCATGACGTAGATTGTGTTTTGCCTGGGATGTTTTATTTGGAGTATTATGCATTAGATTGATATGCATCATGAGTCATGCAGCACATTTGAATTTTTTAGATCACCAACCTCAGTGATTGTAGTCGTTGACTCCCAAGATCGTCTTCATTAAATTTATCTCCTGATTTTGTGGAGATGGTTTTATTTTTGTTTCGATCTCCATTTAGTTTCCATGAGTAGTGGCAAGATATATTGTAGGAAACCATTTATTTAACTGGATTTTCCTGCAGGGCATCCATGCTAGTCTTACGCAAGCACTTACAGTAGTGTCTAAAGATACATTGTTATCAACATCAAAATGTAGCTCTAAATCGACCAAAGAACTATCTACTTCATTCAGACGCTTGCAAGGTAAATGAGTTCATTTGCATCTCTCAGTTAAAAACATCTTGGGCAATTGATTATGGTTTACAGTTGATTATGGTTTACTAGTTTTTTCCAGTGAAAATCCTTTATTCTAGTTAAATTCTTCTCTACTATGTTTTGGCATTTCTATATTTTATGGTTCATGTTTTGAACGCTCAAAGCTTATTGTTTGAGTACCCTTAGTCAAGGTTTATGTCTTGACGTACTGAGCTCATGTCTCGTGGCATTAGCCTCAAGGTGGCTGAGGTGTGTGCTCCTTAGCCTTGCTCTTTCTCAGCTGTATTTTTACTAGCCTTAACCTTTTGGGCTAGTTTTATAATCCATGTAATTCACTGTTGTTATCATTGTTATATATTTTTTCTTGCCATTTCTGTGTTTTGTGTTTCTTTCCTCTGTGTTTATATTTCTTTTTCAATTCAAAGTAAACACAAATCTTAAATTGCTGACCAATTGTTTTCATTTGGTTTAGACTTTCAGTTCTGGTTTCAGATTAGTGGTCTTTAAATGTGATAACTACTTGTAATATATTGTTGCTACTTTGTTAATTTATTTATGTTTTTAGAGTTTTATTGTTGACTAAAAGATGGTGTACAGTTTATTTAAGTATAGTTTCGTATTTTTATTTTATAGATCATGTGTTTCATTTTCAAAATTTTCCAACGATTGTATATCCTCCTTATATTGTTGATTTGGTGGCCATGCAATTAAGAGTGACGCTTGTATGGTTGGAGAACCCACGAAAAGTTGGAAGTATTTAAGGACAACATTCTTCTGAAGAAAGAATTACTTATCAAGGTTAACAAGTTTTTTGCTTATGGACTCTTTCATGATGAATTATATTTCAGGGTTTCGCATCAGTTATGTGATTTGTGGTGCTAATGAAGATATCCATTTTTTGGACAACAGATGTTTGATAAGGTAATTTAGCTTACAATGAAATTTATTTCCTTCTCCACATTTTGTGTAATTGTGTTATCAGATAGATGCTTAACTTATATGTTATCTAGTTTTTGAAGGGTTTTTATTTTATGTCCGTGCTTAAATCGTGTAATCGCTACAGCGCAGACTGGATAATTAATGTTTTTGTCATTTGATGTGAAAAATGGAAAACATTTAATTATTTGGAAACAAGAAGTCGTGACCTATCATTCATGATTTTCCTTTTATATACTAATGAATCAATGATGGTTTGAATTTCATTTGATGAAATTGCATATGCTTATTGGATTTAACAGTTTAATTCCTAAACTACACCTGTTTATTATTAGGGTTTTCAAAACTGGACTTCAACATATAATTGAAGTTATATAAAAGGCACACGAATCTATCTATAGCATGACAAGGCAACTACTACATATCACAAATTCATTTTTCAAAGGGTTCTGTAGAACTCCTTAAATCCTGGATGTTTTTAGTCCATTGCCTAAGTAACTTGATTCTAGAATCTCAGTGAGATCTTGATATCAGTTTCATTGTATGTTTTTCATAGTTTCTGTGAAAGTTGGTGTTCCCCAGTTTAAACCTTGCTGTTTTCCTAGAAAGCTAAAATTATCCTTGAAATTTCATAAAAGTTCAGATATTGACGTGCTATTTTATGGGACTTCTGATTTTGCTGTAATTCTATTACTTAGAAATACCTGATAGCTCTGCATACATTTTTGTTTAGGAGTTTCCATGCAAGTCCAGTACAGCTGGCTAAAAGAAAAGAGGATGCATCATTGGGCCTAAAGATTGCTGGGAGAGGGAAGGCTCTAAATAAAGGGAAGTTCTCAAAAAGAAAGAAAGAGGCCAAACCGCCAGTCGAGACCCCATATTTGCCTCCTAAACTAAAAAGAGGTGCAAAGTCCTCATCAGATAAAACAATTGAAATATTTGAAGGCATGACTGTTGTAGAGCTTGCGAAGCGTTGCGGAGAATCTATAGCTACAGTGCAGCATATCATTGTAAATGTCGGGGAGAAAATTGACTCAGAATTCGACCCTCTCAGCATCGATATAGCAGAGCTGGTTGCTATGGTATTCAGTTTTTTGAAGACAAAATTTATATAAATAAATGTGCCTTTTAGGTTGGGTGGTTTTGTATGGTATCATAGCAAGCAAAAGTCCCGACTTGAAGTCTCATTGCCACCCATTTATGAAAAATTATAGATGTTTAAGGATTTTGATGAAAATTAATTTATCCTGCATGCGAGAAGGCACATTGTCTAAATTTAAATAAATAAATGTGTTCCTTTGTAATAGCTTAAGCTCTTAGATGGTGTGGTTCATTTGGATGTGCTGTCCCGGTCTCTAAAATTTTTGTTATGTTGATGAGTAAAACTTTCTTGATGATGCATCTACGATGGAATATCAAGTTATAAATTCTCCACCAAAAATCCCTCCACAAGAACCTGGTATAAAAAGATTGGACTAGCCATCTTATTTATGTCAACACTAGGATTGTACATGTGGAGCAGGTCATTTAGTTAAAATATTGAAAGCCTGGTTGTCATGTTCCTTTAAGAAGAAAAAAAACATAAAGAATAACATGGAACACATGAAAGAATGGAACCACCAAAATATGAATCAAATCCAATTTTGCATGGGATTCATATGCTTAATCTCGTTTCTTTGTCTACTCCAGTGTTTTAAAAACTTAATTTTTGCAACTATGGATTTTTTTCTTGGTTGCCTATATGGTAACAATTACGGTTGTCTGTATTCTTTCAGGAAATTGGTGTCAATGTTTGTAGGCTGCACTCTGATGATGGTGCTCATGTATTAGGACGTTCCCCAGTCGTCACAGTGATGGGACATGTTGACCATGGTAAAACGTCTCTATTGGATGCTCTGCGACAAACCTCTTTGGCAGCAAAAGAAGCTGGAGGCATAACGCAGCATCTGGGTGCATTTATTGTTGGCATGCAATCCGGAGCGTCGATCACATTCCTGGACACTCCTGGCCATGCTGCCTTTAGTGCGATGCGAGCCAGAGGTGCAGCAGTTACAGATATCGTTGTACTTGTGGTTGCTGCAGATGATGGTGTGATGCCTCAAACTCTTGAAGCAATGTCTCATGCAAAGGCAGCAAATGTGCCAATTGTTGTTGCAATTAATAAATGCGACAAACCTGATGCAAACCCAGAAAGAGTAAAAGTCCAGCTGGCGGCGGAGGGGTTGCTGCTTGAGGAGATGGGTGGAGATGTCCAGGTTGTTGAAGTTTCTGCGGTAAACAAAGTTGGACTCGATAAGTTGGAGGACGCATTGCTGCTTCAGGCTGAGTTGATGGATCTTAAAGCACGCATTGATGGACCTGCCCAAGCCTATGTAGTTGAGGCAAGGCTCGACAAGGGACGTGGTCCATTGGCTACTGCTATAATGAAGGCAGGGACCTTAGTTTGTGGGCAGCATGTCGTCGTCGGTGCTGAGTGGGGAAGAATTAGGTCTATTAGGGATATGGCGAGGAAAGTGATTGCACAGGCTAGACCAGCTATGCCAGTTGAGATTGAAGGGTTAAAGGGACTTCCAATGGCAGGTGATGACATTGTTGTTGTGGAGTCTGAGGAAAGAGCTAGGATGCTTAGTGAAGGAAGGAAAAAGAAATTTGAGAAGGATAGACTAACGAAACTGGAAGAGGAGAGGCCAAAAACTTCAGAAGAGGAAGAGGAAGAGGAAGAAGAGACAAAACCCGAACGGGTTGAAGTGCCAATGATAGTCAAAGCAGATGTTCAAGGCACTGTCCAAGCAGTTACAGATGCGGTGAAGAATTTGAACAGTTCGCAGGTATGACAATAGTTAAGAACTTTGACCGTACACCCCGAAATGATAATAAAGACAAAAATATCAAATTTATTGACAATGATTATTTTCTTTAATGCCTTTTCTTATTTTCTAAGCACTGGGTAATGTTTTATTGCTCTATGTTCATTCTTAGCAAGTAAGATTTATTCTTCAGATATGCAGCTTCCTGATGCTTAGCTAATTTAATTGATCGTTTTCCTAGGTTTTTGTGAAGGTTATTCATGCTGGAGTTGGGCCTATCTCTCAGTCTGATATTGATATGGCACAAGCCTGTGGTGCATGTATTGTTGGATTTAATGTGCGGGATCTTCCTAGTTCTATTGCTCTGGCTGCTACACAAGCCAAAGTGAAGGTACAAGGTTTTGCTGAAACTTAGAGCGTGTTAGGATGAGAAAAAGGAGAAGTTTGTTCCCAATCATTTTTGGGGGACTTAGGGGCTATTTTCTTTGTATTTCAGTTTTGTGTTTTGAATTCATTTTGGGTTTTGTGTTTTGCGTGTTTATTTTGATATTGTTGAAAATGTGTTCTTTTTGGCATTTTGAAAAATTGTTTTGAAAACACTCAAAACGCGTTTTGAAAATTTTGACTTGATTATAACTGAAAACACCTAAAACGAAAAATTTGTCGTTTTAAGTTTTCTTTGTAAATTTTTAATTTGTTTTCAAAAACGAGTTTTCGAAAATAGGAAAGAGAACGCGTTTTCATTGTTTTGGAAAATCGAAAATAGAAAACGGCCCGAAAACGACAAAGAGAACAGGGCCGATATTTTTAAATATGCAAAAAACATCAAATATAAAATCCAAAACGGTGAAACTGTCATTTTGTGTTTTCAGTTCAAACTTTTTTTTTGTTTTCAAAAACGTGTTTTCGAAAATAGGAAAGAGAACGCGTTTTCACTGTTTTGAAAAATCGAAAACAGAAAACGACTTGAAAACGGTAAAGAGAATAGACCCTTACTTTTTCTTAATTTAAGTAAAAATGGTTCCTTATTTTTCAAAGTAACGCTCATTCTACTCTCGAAATAAGGAAATTTTTTTCAACAAAACCAATAAAAGAATTTTTATTTCAAAACTTTATTTAGGTACAAGTAAACTTTATAAGCTTAGCCAACCAGGCTGACATTTTTAAAATTTGAGTTTTGACTTGCAATTTAATAATCTTGGTGTGTTACATTGATGAGATGGTGGCATGATAAGAAGAAATATGGATAAAATAAGCTAGTAGTTTACTTACTCTCTATAATCATTGATTGCAGATAAAATTGCATCGCGTGATCTACCATCTTCTGGAGGACATTGGTAATTTCATTGTTGAAAAGGCTCCGGGAACCCTTGAGACTCAGGTTGCGGGAGAAGCCCAGGTGCTGAATATCTTCGAGCTGAAAGGGAGGAGCAAAGCCAAGGGAGATGATGTGAAGATTGCGGGTTGCAGAGTGATAGATGGCCGTGTCACTAAATCGTCAACACTGAGACTTCTTAGAAGTGGGGAAGTGGTTTTTGAAGGATCATGTGCATCTTTGAAACGTGAGAAACAGGACGTGGAGGCCGTTGGCAAGGGGAACGATTGTGGGCTCGTGATCAAAGATTGTTTTGATTTCCAGGTTGGAGATGTTATTCAATGCTTGGTGCAAGTGAACAGAAAACCAAAGTTTGTTTCATCAGAGAGTGGAGCAGTCCGAATTGAATGCTGATAATATTATAATTTGGGTCCTCGATCAACCGATGTTGTCAGCGTATAATTTTTGTCGAGTAGGTAAAGGAATTTTGTTATAGGTTTAATTAACATTATTTTTTTGCCTGGAAATCGAATTTTTATGATTTGAACTGAGACCCTTGAAGCACTGTTGCGGCATTCTCAATAACACAGTACAAGAGACGATTTTAATAGTGTAGTTTAATACGAAACAAGTCATATATTGTGTGATGGAAGAAGAAACTGTACATTATGATAGATAATGTAGAATGTTATCAGTTTCTGTGTAATCTTCTTGTTAGGCTTGTTAATGTGCTATATCGTCCATTCCTCCTCTTTCATTTGTTCTATGGACGAGCTCGTTGGTGCTTAATCTTTGAACCAGGTTACGAATGAGGTTACCTGTGTCGGGTGCATCTTTGAAGTCTTGGCCTGCTGCAAATTCGAGTCTCTACCCCTGGTGGCTGAATGACTTTTGGCCGGAACTGGTGGCTGCCACCACCGGCAACTGAGGATTTTAGTTTTCGATATCCATATGAAGGAACTTTAACCTGTGGATTTTTTTTTTACCTCTGAATTGCATGACTGCAAATGATTTTCTGTTCTTTATTTGCTGGAATTTGCAATATTTATTGCAGTAATTCTTCATGAACTGAATTATGGACAAAATTAGTGATGCATTATAGCTTTAGATGTTTAGATGTCGTGTCTTGAATTTAAACGGGGACGCTAATCTGGCATTGAAGTGTAGTACTAGTATTTCTAAGCTAACATTTGTACTCGTATTTGACAATAAAATAGGATTTGGATGTGGGAAAATCTTTACAACACGAGACAAAAATATTCGGGTTCCAACGAAATGTATGAGATAAATTATGCGATAATGAATGACCACTTGGGAGCCAAACTCAAAATCTAGGTCACTAAAAACCCAAGATTAAACAGAAAGAAAGAGAATGTACGACTTGTAGTCAATATTTTTGCATTACTCTCAAATGACACAAATTGATGATATTTATAATGTTACATGGAAATAATAACCATTAGATGGGAGGACACGTGATTTCATCTTTTTATCGAAGCATCACATCCTAGGTATCAATTTTAATCCCACTAGCCCATAGCACATTAAATGTCCCAAAAAGGAGGCGGTCGCCCATGACTTATATTGACAGAGTGACCGTTTTACTCATTACAATAGTCTAATCAATCATTCTAAAAGAATTTCATAAATTCAAAATTTTCAAACTTGGATCGTCACTAGCCTTCATTGAGCCTCAAATTCTACTTTGTTGAACATTGCCACTTCAGCAAAGAAGATTCGTTTGGACCTCAAGTTTGTCTTTAGTATAGGGGCTTTGGAAGGTGTCAGCCTCGTTTGGACTCAGGTAGGTCCTGCTTCACGTGGAATGTCCGTGGTTTCAACATAAGGTGTTTCGGTGAGTCGGCTGAGCCACATGAGAACCTACTTGGTCAAGCATAACAGGTCTAATGAAATATATGAATAATAAATGATTAATAATTAAAAATGTGTAATTCAAATTAACGTTCGAAATTTCTAAATTTATACGTGATTTTATAAAAATTGGTTGCCAAAAGGTGACCAAACAAACGATAACATAGATAGCGACAGAAATTTTTGAAGCCTTAAGTTTGGGTGTAAGCCATGGATTCCGCAAACTCGACCAGCCTCAGCTCCACTGCATACGACATCGTTTCCATTGTAATGCTCTCTTTTCGAATTCGATTTTTTTTTTTTTTTTGGCATTTTTGATGGATCTAGAATTGTAATAGGATTGTATTTGAATGTCTAGATGATTGATCCCGGAAAATTTTACCTGAATTTCACCTGGTTTTCAGGCTTTTTGCAACTATATTTGATTTGCTATTTTGTGGAAATCTGATCCAAAAAGTTTGCATTTTTTAACTTGGAAAATCGGTCGAAGGATAATTTCAAAAGTATAGGATTTTCGGTAAAATCAAATTTTATTTTTAGTACAAATGGTAGTAAAAGGACATTTATATTTTGCTATATGTGATTATTGTATGATGATTTAGGGCAAAAACCTGTTCATATGAAAAATTCACATACTTTCCATTGCACTGTCCTATCGACTTCAGAAACTTATGCCTTATTGCTTTTTTTTTTAATCGAAAATGAGTATTTCCATTTCAAGACTCCGAAATTCTATTGATATCAACGGCTGATTTTAATATTACCGATAGGACAATCGCTTTTGGGTAATATTAGAAGATAAATATTTAAAAAATGTAATTTCCCAAAAGAATTCTATCAGTAAATGAAGTAGTACCAATAAAAAAATTAAATATTAGCGAAAACACTTTGTCAATCTTTAAAAAAAAAAAATAACGTCTTAAGTTTCTGACGGAACATTGTTTTAGTAACTTATTAAAAAATAAAACTATATTAAGTAAAAGTAAACTTTTGTTGATGATGCCTACAGTTTCATTAACAATAAAATCATGGTCATTGTTGATGGTATAATCAATAACTTTACTCAGTAATTGCCAATGGAAATGTCATAAGTAATCTCGAAGGTAATACCGTTTGACATTCACAAATGAAATTTGTATTTGTAATGGCACTCAGATTTTATTATTATTAGTCTTAAAAAGGTCACTTCGAAGACTTCCTTTTGATTTTCTTTATCAGGTAATCATCTGCTTTGAGTTTATTCTTCTTGTTTCTGGAAGTTTAGATGCTATAACATAATAATATTGTGCTGTCCTTTTCTTCCCTTCCCCCATCCCGCACCCGCTATAAACACGCAGTCTTCCAATCAAGCCTAGTGACGTACATACTTATATGGTCTGGTTGTTTGACATGCTGATTCACAGGAGGAGGATTGTTCAACTTCTGTGGATGTGGATCATGAGACAAGATGCTGGGGTTGTGGGCTCCGAGTTCTTGTTTCTCCATATGCATCATCTGTTTTCAAATGTGGCTGGTGTGGAGCTATAACAAAGCAAAATGCATTGAAATGTGAAAACCAGTGCTTCAAGTGGAGACGCTTACGAGACCTGTGTTTTGTCAGTGTTGTCCTTCTATTTATGCTATTCTTTATATGTAAGCATCAAATACTTCAATCTACATAGTTGAAGATTCCGTTTCTCCCTCCCAAAGTTGTTGCACATGGAATTCATTTTGATTAATCTGTTTGATGAGAAAAATGGAATTATGCACATTACCTTATTGATATGCTTCAGTAATGTCGCTAGTATAAATCTTGACTAGACTCGATAGTTAGAGCCGTTTTTCTAATTCAAGAAAATAGATGTTTATAGAAATAAAATTTGGTCAAGTTCTAAATGCAGTCAATATATGAAGAATAATGGGTGGTGCTCAGATAAAGATAAAACAGACAGTTTTAGGTCGGCAATATAAACACAAGACTTTTAACATAAGCATCAATGGTGTCAAATACAATGATGAAATTGTCCTCAATTCTTGTATTGATGATTTGCTTTTACGACATTGTGTTAAAAACGGCTTGTTTTGTTTTTTGGAGTTTATCTTCCACAGTCGGAAAGAAGAAAATTTAATAAGCCAGCTTTGAGGTCCTGCAGTCGGATATGGAATTTTCTTAATTTACAGGGTTTTTGCTTCTTTTTTTTTTTTGTGTTCTGGGGATATAAATATTCACTATAATCTTCTTGTTGTACAGGTGGTGGCATTTGGGCAATTTATCCTATCACCTTTTCCATCAGTTTCTTTGGTGGTGTTTTTCACTTAATAGTTGCAGTAATCTTGTCTCTATCTACTTTATCTACATTTTGCTTAGCTGCATTTCGACCTGCTGGTGCTCCACCAACTATACCGTGGGGTAGCTACCCCACTGTGGGGAAAGGTGGACTGGAAAACTACACGTTCTGTCACTATTGTTCAAGGCCAAAATCACCAAGGACACACCATTGCCGTTCATGCGGAATGTGTATATTGGACATGGATCATCACTGCCCATTTGTAAGTATTCAACACCGTTTCCCAGCTTAAGAAAAATGTTGCGCTTTTAGTAATATTGTGTCCTTAAATTAGAATACGAAAAGCAATGTTTGTAATCTGTAATGAAGTTTTTCAGGCACATTCAATCTTATTTATTTACAATGACGAATTGAAGATAATGAGATATTTCTGATGAGAAGAGCTCATGCGTATCCATACACTGCTGATAGCACCAAATTGCCTCCACTTTGAATTGTATGACATGGTTCTAAGTTGATTGATCGGTGTGTTGACTATTTCTTTGTGAAATTTCACCTTTGATGACTGAATAATTTTGAAATTATGGAATCACTTTCTTTTGCATTGTTGCATTCTTTTGGTGAGATTGACCTTGATTTAAATTAAATGCATATTAGCAATGACATCAACCGTGCAAAAAACTCAGTTTGTCTGGAGAAATTAACCCCTTGGACCATCTACATAGCAAAAAATCAGTTTATATCAGGATATTCTGTTTCTTAATGCAAAATGGAAGCTAAATCTAGGTAAGTTAGAGAAGATTGGACAATGCTGACCTCAAACCCAAATGAATCAATAAACAACTGAAGAGGAGAAATAGAGGAATCAAAGAGGTACCAGGATGTACTGTGCTGGATATCTCATACATACATTCCTAACCAAGAATTTTAACTTGTTGAGTTCTCTCAACTAAAACTTGGGGCAATTGCTTTTGTGGTTGATTAATATGTTCTGTAGCTACTGTTATGCACTTTTGTTAAATTAAGTCCTCGTTTGGAACCCATTCTCTTTCTCATTTTTTTTCTCTTTTTTCATTTCAACCACACATTCTCCAAATAAAATAATATTACACACAAATCTAAAATTTTTCATCACTTTTCCACGACACATTTTTCCATCAATCACTATTCCAAAAATTTTCAACTCATTAAAATGGGTGTCAAACGAGTTGTTTGTGAATTATTACCAACCTATTAATTACTTCACACTGCTGCTAATTTTCATTAACGAACATGAAATTGGAAGATCTTGGCATGAATACTATTACTGTTATATTTATTGAGGCAATTTCAGAGCTTGTTTGGTAGAGATTAAAATCGGATTAAAATTGAAAAATTAGCCGTTATTGTTGACTTTTATTAGACGAGTGAGATCTCCAATAACGGCTATATTTTCAATTTTAATTCCTCCCAAACAAGCTCCCAATATAATAGTTAGCTTTTTTTGTCATAAGCAGATCGGGAACTGTGTTGGCGCAACAAATCACCAGGGTTTCATTCTCTTCCTTATGTCTGCAGTCATCAGTATGATTTATGTCATTATCATGTCATCATACTCGGCACTTCATATCTCACCACCATTAAACCATAGGTCGGTTAGCTTATTGAATAGCTTTGCTAACATTGAGTTGGTTTTCAAAGCCTTAAAAGAAATCATCCTTGCTTTCCTGACATCAGCGGTGTTTCTATCAGCAAGAGGACTCCTACTTGTTTACCTGTTTATTGCTAGTGTTTCAGTGGAGATTGGTTTGAGCCTGCTCTTGTGGCAACAGCTCTATTACATATACGAGGGAAAAACCTACTTGAGTCATCTAAGTGCAACGGATAGTGAAGAATCGGCAGAAAAAGATTGCCAAAACCTTGTTCGGTTTTTTGGTTGCCCATATGTTGCAGCAATGTATTTGCCGAGTATTTGGAAATCTGGGAAAAGTCACAAGAAGTGAAGCTCTAGAGGTATGTCAACTTGCTTCTTTTACATCAATTTTCTTGAGATTGAACCTCCAGGTTTCTATAAATCCATTTTGTTATATAATCCAAGTCCGAGGCAAACAGAGATTGAAGATATGGATGTTGTGTCCTTTCTTAAACTCGTTTCATGCTGTTGGATTGGAACTAAGTGGACACTCATATGCGTTCACAACACTTATTATGACTATTTCCAAAACAAAAGGAACAGAAGTCAAATTTCAACTACATTCAGGACACGCTTGAGCAATATTAAACACTTTTTCACCACACATATAATTACATGTGAGAGTATTATAATTTTCTTCCAAAGGGATCAAAGATTTAATATTTATTTGATTGTGATTTTATTTGAAGTAATTAAAGATAAGAACAATACTTTTAACTACTATTGAATTGAGCCATACTCGTTCAACTCGAAAAATCCAATTTTTGTGGCAAAAGATGCATGAAGTGTATTACGTAACTTGAAACGTAGATGCAAGAGTAGTATTAAAAAAGAAGCAATATATTATACATAAATACACACATTTAGATTATGTTTGGAAAGTGTGTATAAATAGATAGAAATTAGTGGTGGAAAAGTGGGTAATACTTGTGAATTCTATGAAATGGTGGGTAAAAAGTGTTTTGATCTAGAGTGTGGTGTTTATAAACACTTACCGAACATAGGCTTAGATGCATTACTATCTCTCTATTTTATTCAGAAATGCGTTTTGACATGTTGTGTTCTACTTTCTGAAAGAATCCCTGTGACATGCTTCTTAGAATGAAAAAAGGGCTGAGAATGATGGCTAACTAATTTGATTGATTTTAAAGCCGTTTGATATTCCAAGTTTATAATGTTGAGTTAGCAAACTTGTTACAAAAGTAGTGGTATTCCCAATCTTGTTTGCTATTAACTTAGTATTTACTATTTAGTTCATCAGGGTATACAACTGTTCTGATAACAAGCTTTCTTGGTTCTTTTTCACAGGTTTTCTGGAGAGGTCTACTCGTCAAAAGATAGCTAGCATCTATTCGAGTAAAGTTGTACGACGATGAAGATAGTTTAGGGAGGCCGGCTGGAGTTATTCCCTTTCTTGTTGCTGAAAGGACCTTCTGAATATTTTTCCTCGGGAGGTGGTGTGGGGCTCAAAAGCTTTGAAGGAAATGTCTATTTTCGACACGGCCGCTACCGCGAGAAGCTATCCCAACTATCTACTACTCAAAAGACCGCGTGGGAGGATCACTGTTGGCTTGTGTTACGTGTAGGGACGATGGAAGATGTTTATTTTTTTGTTTTTGTGCTGCAAGTGGTGAATGAGTCATGGAGCCCGGTGTCTCTATAGTTTAGCCAAAATTACGGGTCTGGTTTGTCTTCATCGTAGTGTCCCATCATCTTTATGGTGGCGTGAAAGGAAGTGCATCTCTTTCGTTTATGTTGAAGCTTCTTTTGTAGTGTACCAACTCGTTATAGATTCATGGATGAGACTCAAGGAGAGTTTTGTGGTTCTTCGTTTTCTTCTTTTCGTTTGGTGAGTATGTCTCTTGCATTTAGGATTTACTTGATTGTTACCAACGAGATGTGTGACTCAAAAGTAATCATGACAATCCACTGCCTCATTTTTTCCAATTAGTGACTAGGAACCAAATTATATTGGAAGTAGCCTTGTGAACACGAGGATCTTTCAAAAAAATGGCGGGTTCTTGATATCGATATTTCAAGTGGAATTTAGTTGGCTCGTAAAGAATGATACCAATATTTATGAAACAAAATTTACGTGGCACTCCATAGTAGTCGTTACATTTGATCTTTGATTTCGAATGAGGAAAATTCAATCTATGTTTGGCCCTTATTTTATAAAACTTATTTACTTTAAATTTATGTTCAATCACACATTTAATGAGACATGCGACTTTCGTTAAACTCCTGTTTGATAATCATTATTTTAAAAGTCTTTAATTATCATACTCATTTTCAACTTCACATTTAATCAATAAAATGTTTTGTACGTAATTTTAAAATTTTCCATTACTTTTTAATTATACATTCTTTAAAAAATCACTATTCAAAATTAGGCATGTGCATGGTTCGGGTAGGGTTGATTTTAAGCTCGACCCGAAACCGAAACCTTCTCGATCGATTTTGATAAATTCCAGCCCAAACTGACACAATTCATCTCTTTGAATTGAATCANTATAATGCAAATAGTAAAGAATCGATTTTACCAAAATCGTCCATGCCTTTTTTTTTTTTTTTTAAATTTGAAGTTTTGGTAAAAAAAGTGTAAACAAGAAACAAATTACTTGAGAAATAATTATATTTGTGCTTTTATTATATTTTTTTAAAATTTTAAAATATAAATTTAAAATAAATCTATTAGCGAGTTGAATTGGTTAATTGATGGGTAGGTTGCCAACCCGACTTTTTATTGGTTTAAATTAATCAAATCGAATCAAATTTTTTGTTCAAACCAACTCGAACCGACCATACTCAGTTTGATTTGGTCAATTTATCGATTTTTTTATCCACCCCTATTCAAAACTCTGTTTTCTATAAATGGTAATTAGCACATAACGTCCCTGCCTTTTATTGTTATTGTAGAAAACGTCCATACTTTTCATTTTTTGGCATTTTCACATTTCATTGCGCAAAATATCATTTTCACTTATTTTCTCAATTAAAAATTATGAAATGATGAATATACCTATCTCTTTAAATAAAACAAAAAGAAAAAATTTAATTGCAACTACAGTCCCAATTTTTTTTTAAAAAGCGCAAATAAGTCACAAATAATTATTAAAAGGGAAATTAGTACATAATGTCTCTATCTTTCATCGTTATTGGGAAAAACGTCCACACCTTTCATTTTTTTAGCATTTTCACACTTAACCCCCGTTTGGTGCACATTTTGAAGGTAAGAATACATTTTTGCTGTTGATGTGATGAAGAATATGTGATTGAAAAAGAAGGAAAAATTATTGATGTGATGAAAAATATTATTTTATTGAAAAATGTGTAGTTGAAAATGAGTAGAAGAATGAGAATAAAAAAAATAATGTGGACCAAATAGGGCCTTATTATGGAGAATATGTGGTTGAAAAAAAAGGAAAAGTTATTGATGTGATGAAAAATATTATTTTATTGAAGAATGTGTGGTTGAAAATGAGTAGAAGAATGAGAATAAAAAAAATAATGTGGACCAAATAGGGCCTTAATTACACATTTCATTATGCAAACCATCCATTTCCATCCAATTTTTCAATAAAACGTGTGAAATCATGAATATACCCTTCTATTTAAATAAAAAAAATATTTTTTAATTTTTAATTCTTTAATAATTTATTTGGGACTCGTTTGTATTTTTTAATTTTTAAATAAATTTAATTGGAACTCGTTTGCATTTTTTTTAAAAAAGGACTATGATTGCAATTAATTCTTTAGCTTTTTATTTAAATAGGAGGGTATATTTGTCATTTTACAAGTTTTATTGAGAAATTGGATGAAAATGGATTGTGTAATTAAGGGTGAAAATGCCAAAAATAAAAAATATGGAAGTTTTTCGCAATAACGGTGAAAGATAGAGACAGTATGTACTATTTACCTTTTTAATGATTTATTTGTGACTTATTTGCGTTTCTTAAAAAATTTGGGAATGTGGTTGCAATTAGTTTTTTTTCTTTTTTTTTTTAATTTACAGAGAGGGGCATATTCATCATTTCATAATTTTTAATTGAGAAAATAAGTGAAAATGATCTTTTGCGCAATGAAATGTGAAAATAAAGGTGAAAATGCCAAACACGTCATTATGGTCATTCACCAACCCCCTTTCCTCCTATGACGGCGTTTCGTAGCACCTAGAAGTCATCGCACTCTTTCGTACTTTTCACCCCTTCGACGAGTCCGCTCATTCTAAAATTTTATAATAACATTTAATTTACCAAAATACCCATGTCGTTGAATACAAAATTACTAAAAAATGCCATTTCTGATCGAACGGAATTCAAATTTAAAAAGTCATATAGGACAATTTCGTCATTTTAAATACCAGATATCATCTCTTTGATCTTATATATTTCACTCTCTCACTCTCTCCCCATTTCACAATAGCTTCAGTTGTCAACGACAATGGAGTCAGCTACGCTTTCGCAGATTGGACTGGCGGGCCTGGCAGTAATGGGTCAGAACCTGGCCCTCAACATCGCCGAGAAGGGTTTCCCCATCTCAGTCTACAACCGGACCACCTCTAAGGTCGACGAGACTGTGGGTCGAGCCCAACGGGAAGGTGGGCTCCCGCTTTACGGCCAGTACAGCCCTAAAGAATTCGTTTTATCCATCAAAAAGCCCAGGTCTATAATCATCCTAGTCAAAGCTGGAGCTCCGGTTGATCAGACAATCGCCGCTTTGTCGGCTCACATGGACCCCGGAGACACGATTGTCGACGGAGGTAACGAGTGGTACGAGAATACGGAGAGGCGTATGTCAGAAGCCTCTACAAAAGGGCTTCTGTATTTAGGAATGGGTGTTTCGGGTGGTGAGGATGGGGCCCGGAATGGGCCCCCGTTGATGCCTGGAGGATCACATACGGCTTATTTGAATATACAGCATATTTTGGACAAGGTAGCGGCGCAGGTGGATGATGGGCCTTGTGTTACTTATATAGGTGAAGGGGGGTCCGGGAATTTTGTGAAAATGGTGCATAATGGGATTGAGTATGGTGATATGCAGCTGATTTCTGAGGCGTATGATGTTTTGAAGAATATTGTATTAGAGATATTAAAAGATAGTTTTAAAGTGTCAGCCTAGTTCTCATTTCACTGGGGCATCACATGGCCGTGTCGAGTCAAGCATCTTCGACATGTGGCTATCGAAAGCCTTTTTATCATTAAAATGGTGAACCATAGCAAACGTTTTGATTTGTTAGGAGGATATGAATTGCTTACGAAAATTTATTGGTCAACATGAGTCGGCTCTTCAAACACGTGTTTGGGGCTGTGAGTATTATAGTTTGTGAGTATTATAGTCCATTAAAATTTGATTTCACTACGAGCAAAATAGGCCTTTCCAACCAAGTACTCCAGAATGACGTGCCATTTTCGAATCACGCAAGTTGATGTGACAATAAAAATTATAATTGACAAGTGAATAAAGCTACGAGTAATCGAGCTCATCCAACAAGGACGGGTCAAGCTCATGGCTTAGGCAATGATTGATTTTAGAAGACCAATCTCATAATTAAGAAGCGTGTGAGACAAGTTAAAAATTAAGTTTGAATCTAGATAACATCACAGAGTATTCTATTTTATTTTTTGGCCGACCTAGACCTCCTGTTACTATTCAGTGTAAAACATCTATAAATTTTGTACGATAAATCGTCTCAAAGAGAAAAAATAAAAAAGACAATACTTAAAAGGGAACCTTACTCCCATCGAACTTGAAAATACAAAATACTCAAAAGACTTCTAGTGAACAATCACCAATGTCAAATTTTGTCATTAGTTCCTTTTCTAAAAAAGTTGGTTGACTAAAGTATTGGAGTCTTTTTAACTAAGAGTCATATCAAACACATTCTATCATATTGCTTAGTATTAGAGATATTAAAAGATAGTTTCCTTATTTAGATTATTGCACAAATGTAATTAGATTTGTATAGCTAAAAGTTTGAATTTCCATAGATTAGAATATTGTCTTTGATTCTGTTTGTAACCTATTTATACTCTTCTTCAATCAATGAAAAGGTATGCCATTATTTCCTCAATTCTAAATCTCATATGGTATCAGAGACAGCACGTCCTCCTTCCTCTTAAAATTCGGCCATCAATACTCTAACCTGCCAGATTTTTTTTTTCTTTTCTACAACCCACCATGGCAGACAACCAACCTCAGCTTCCCCTACCAACTGACTCCCACACAGTCGCCCTTCCATCTTCCAGCAACCTGCCACAAGCCCTGCAACTAATCAATATTGCTCATCACAATATTGTCAAACTCACCTCCACCACTTATTTGTCCTGGAAGCTTCAGATGGAAGCCATTCTTGTCGGCTATGACCTTTACAAATACATCGATGGCTCTCATCCTTGTCCTCCATCTACAGTCCACACCAACAATGTGGACACACCCAACCCAGATTATCTCCCATGGGTTCGGCAAGACAAACTGCTGTTTGGCGCGCTTGTCGGATCCATCTCCTCTCCCTTGGTTCCGCTCCTCCAACGTGTTACCACCTCCCGCGAAGCATGGCTCACTCTTGCCAACACTTATGCTCGCCCGTCTCGTGGACATATCAAGCAAATCAAGGACCAAATCAAGCGCTCGGTCAAGGGTTCTCAATCTATCTCAGAATATATGCAATTTCTCAAGTGCCGCTCCGATGAATTTGCCGCACTTGGCAAACCGATGGATCATGAAGATCTTATTGAGGCGATTCTCGATGGTCTTGATGATGACTACAAGGCTCTTGTTGATGCTATTGAGGGCCGCAACGAACCCATCTCCTTTGATGAACTTCATGAGAAACTGATCAATCGGGAACTGTCCCTCAAACAAAATCAGTCAACTCTCTCCTCCGCACCGGTCACGGCTAACGTTGCTTCCAACCGCCACAATGGAGGCTCACGGCCTCCCCCTTCTCGGCCTGCATGGACGCCCAACATGCCATCCACCGGCTTCTTTCAGCAGCATACGGCCGGACATGGATCTTCTCAGCGCCGTCCTCCGCGCCCGTACCTCGGCAAGTGCCAGGGCTGTCGTGCTCAGGGCCACACTGTCGCCCATTGTCCTCTGTTTCAGTTGGTCCCAGCTATCACTGCTTCCTTGTCTGCACCTCGTTCTTCAGCTCCTAACTCTGGCCGCTCTCCTTCTCCTCCGTGGCAACCGAAGGCGCACATGGCCACTGCGTCCACCTTGGACAACTCCCCGTGGCTCCTTGACTCCGGTGCCTCTCATCATGTTACTGCTGATTTGAACAATTTGTCCCTTCACGCACCGTATGATGGGCCCGATGACATTGTAATTGGTGATGGTACTGGGTTACACATTTCACACATTGGTTCTACCTCCTTGCAAACCCCCTCTCATTCTTTTAAATTACATGATGTTTTATGTGTGCCCCATATGAAACGGAATCTACTTTCTATATCTCAATTTTGCAACACAAATAATACATCCATTGAATTCTTACCCACTTCTTTTCTTGTGAAGGATTTAATGACGGGGACAACACTGCTACAAGGTCGAACAAGAGATGGTGTGTATGAATGGCCGACGTCGTCACCTTCTACCAATTCCAAACTTGCCTGTTCCAGTGTCAAGGCTTCTCCTACTGATTGGCACCACCGCTTAGGTCATCCATCAGAGTCTATCCTTAGACATATTGCGTCTACCTTTTCTTTAGCTTTTTCTACGTCTGTCTTTAAGAATTTTCATTGTAATGACTGTTATTGCAATAAAAGTCATAAACTACCTTTTTCCCAATCCACTATTGTTTCTCATGCTCCGCTTCAAATAATTTTCTCTGATGTGTGGACTTCTCCTATTCATTCTGTTGATAATTTCAAATATTATGTCATCTTTGTCGATCACTACACTCATTACATCTGGTTTTATCCCCTCATGCGTAAATCCGATGTTTCCGTTGTCTTTCCTCGTTTCAAAGCTTTGGTTGAAAACTTCTTTCAATCCAAAATTGTCACCTTCTACTCCGACAATGGGGGTGAATACACGGGTCTAAGATCTTTCCTGTCCGCAGCTGGCATCTCTCACCTCACCACCCCTCCACACACACCCGAACATAATGGTTTCTCTGAACGTCGCCACCGCCACATTGTTGAAACTGGTCTCGCTCTCTTATCTCGGGCTTCCTTACCTCTCACCTTCTGGTCCTATGCTTTCCTCACTGCCACCTACCTCATCAATCGTCTCCCTACTCCTACCTTAACCATGACCTCTCCCTATCATAAGCTTTTTGCTTCTCCTCCAAATTACCACAAACTGCGAGTCTTTGGTTGTCTTTGCTACCCGTGGCTTCGCCCTTACTCTCCTCATAAATTAGCCCCCCGCTCTACTCCTTGTGTTTTTCTCGGCTACTCCCAGACCCAAAGTGCCTATCTGTGCTATGAACCCACCTCCAAGAAGATATATACTTCCCGTCATGTCCGTTTTGTTGAAGCTGAATTTCCCATGTTTGGTCTCTTTCCCCATTTATTGCGTCCGGACGACTCTACATGTTCCACATGGCTCTCTGTTCCTCTTCTTGCTCCGGTTCCTCGCACACCATCTCCGGCTCAACCTCGCAGGACACCCTTGTCAGGTAATCTCTCCACTCCCAGCTTAGCCACTTCTTCATTGCCGTCTACCCACCGCGGTGAAACTCCCAGTTCACCACGGCGACACTCCGAACAACCACCGAATCCGTCTCCGCCTAGTCCTACCACTCAACCACACCCCAACCCAACCACTGCCCCTCCCTCCCGGACATCTCCCATTATTACCCGCTCCCGCAACCACATTCATAAGCCCATCACCAAACTTAACCTCTCTGCCCTTCTTGCCCAAGAGGTGGAACCCACATGTGTGACTCAGGCTATCAAGGATGACAAATGGCGTCAGGCCATGTCTGCGGAGTTTGATGCCCTTGTTCAAAACGGCACTTGGGAGTTGGTTCCTCCGGATATGGCTTAGAACATTGTAGGTTGCAAGTGGATTTTTCGTATTAAACGTTTGCCTAATGGTTTTGTTGACAGGTACAAAGCTCGTTTGGTTGCCAAGGGCTTTCATCAGCGCCCAAGTGTTGACTACCATGAGACATTCAGCCCTGTTGTCAAACCCACAACTGTTCGTCTGGTGCTTTCTATTGCGGTCAGTCGTGGTTGGTCTCTTCGCCAACTTGACATCAATAATGCTTTTCTTCAGGGCACTCTCACTGAAGATGTCTACATGACACAACCACAGGGTTTCATTGATACTGACCACCCACAGCATGTCTGCAAGTTGAGAAAAGCTATCTATGGCCTCAAACAGGCACCTCGTGCTTGGTACAATGAGCTTCGACAGTTCCTTCTTCACTCCGGCTTCATCAACTCCACTGCAGACACCTCTTTGTTTATCTTCAACACTAACACCGTCACTCTTTATCTACTTGTTTATGTTGATGATATTATTATTACAGGGAGTGACTCTACTGCCATTCAGGGATTCATTACTCTCCTCGCCAATCGTTTCTCACTAAAAGATCTTGGTCCGTTAACCTACTTTCTTGGTGTAGAAGTTGTCCCTCACTCACAGGGCATCATTCTTTCCCAACGGAGATATATTGCTGATCTCCTTGCCCGTACCAAGATGACCGATGCATGCCCAGTCGCCACACCTCTTGCCACGTCGCCCACTCTTGTTCTCCACTCGGGCTCTGCGCTATCGGATCCCACTAAATATCGTACCATTGTGGGAGGTCTTCAGTACCTCTCTCTAACTCGCCCGGACATTGCTTATGTGGTCAACAAACTTTCTCAGTTCATGCATCGCCCAACCACTGATCATTGGAATGCCGCAAAACGCCTTCTTCGGTATCTTTGTGGGACCATCGATCAGGGTATTCTTCTCCATTGCCACTCAACTCTTGATCTTCATGCTTTCTCCGACGCTGACTGGGCTGGTAACAAAGATGACTTCACCTCCACTACCGCATACATTGTTTATCTTGGACGCAACCCCATATCATGGAGTTCCAAGAAACAACGCACGGTTGCTCGATCATCAACTGAAGCTGAATATCGGTCTGTTGCTGCTACAGCTGCAGAGTTGCGCTGGATAACGTCTCTTCTTGGTGAGCTTGGTATCTCTTCTCCTCAGACACCGGTCATCTACTGTGATAATGTGGGAGCCACAAATTTATGTTCTAATCCGGTGTTTCATTCCCGTATGAAACATGTGGCACTCGACTACCATTTCATTCGTGAACAAGTTCAGGATGGGGTTCTTCGGGTTACGCATGTATCTTCTACGGATCAGTTGGCGGATGCTCTCACTAAGCCTCTACCCCGCACACGCTTTCATCTGTTACTACTCAAGATTGGACTCTTCTCTCGGCGCTCCAACTTGCGGGGGCATATTAGAGATATTAAAAGATAGTTTCCTTATTTAGATTATTGCACAACTGTAATTAGATTTGTATAGCTAAAAGTTTGAATTTCCCTAGATTAGAATATTGTCTTTGATTCTGTTTGTAACCTATTTATACTCTTCTTCAATCAATGAAAAGGTATGCCATTATTTCCTCAATTCTAAATCTCATATATTGGTGGTTTGAGTAATGATGAATTGGCAGAGATTTTTACTGAGTGGAATCGTGGGGAGTTGGAGAGTTTCTTGATCGAGATTACTTCAGATATTTTCAGGGTCGAGGATGAACAGACTGGAAATGGCCATTTGGTGGATAAGATTTTGGATAAAACTGGAATGAAAGGTACTGGGAAATGGACTATTCAGCAGGCTGCTGAGTTGTCCATTGCAGCACCCACTATTGCAGCTTCGCTAGATTCTAGGTACATGAGTGGGTTGAAGGAAGAGAGGGAGGAGGCATCGGAAATTTTTAATGAGGAAGGGTTGAAGGAGGACATTAACAATGTGGGCAAGGTGGATAAGAAGAGGTTGATTGATGATGTCAGGCAAACGCTTTATGTGTCCAAGATTTGTAGTTATGCACAAGGGATGAATTTGTTGAGAGCGAAGAGTTTTGAGAAGGGGTGGAATTTGAATTTGGGGGAGCTTGCAAGGATTTGGAAGGGTGGGTGCATTATAAGGGCTGTGTTCTTGGATAGGATCAAGCAAGCGTACCAGAGGAATCCAGGGCTTGCGAATTTGTTGGTGGATCCAGAGTTTGCTAGGGAGATGGTGCAGAGGCAGGCAGCATGGAGGAGAGTCGTGGGTTTGGCAATTCAGAAGGGTGTTAGTGTCCCAGGGATGTCAGCTAGCTTGCAGTATTTTGATACCTACAGGCGTGGAAGGCTTCCTGCGAACCTTGTGCAAGCTCAGAGGGACTACTTTGGGGCGCATACCTATGAAAGGATTGATCATCAAGGAGCATTCCACACTGAGTGGTCGAAGCTTGCTCGAAACGCTAGAGTGTAACACTGATGGGCAGGTTGAGGTTTGCTTGGTATAATTTGGGTACTGAAATTGCTCTAGGATGGGTGTTCTTGTGGCATTTGATTGAATTTTAGTTTGTATCAATTGATAAGGATTTCTTGCTCGATCATAGCATACATGTTTTGTAGCCTCTGCATTGTTAATTCTCAAGTTAATAAGGGGAGCATGCCTTTTCGAATGTTTTATTGTTGTTTCAAACAATTACATCTATTGCAATTGAGATGTTTAACTATCTTCATGGCCTTTTTGTATCTTGTGTGAAAATGATCTTTTCTTGCTATATTCCTTTATACTAGTATCCTGGGAAAATATACTGATGATCATGTTTATGTCAGTTACTTTTCTGTTGAAGTATTATCTATACATGTCTGAGAATACAGAAGTACTACCATATTGGACTTGGATATGAAGAGGAAGCACTGAAGAATAACTGAGACTTCTGCATTTTATTTCTATATACGTTCTATACTTCTAACATCATGCACAAGGGATTTGCTTAACAAAATGTAAATGGTTCTTTCAGGTTTTCGTACGTTCTATTTTGCTGCTAAAGTATATATTCAGTCATTCACGTTAGCTCGCCCCATAAAACCCTTATGTCGTAGTTTATTTAGTCATCCTCTTCTGATTTATACTTCTTGGAGATGTTACTAGTTTTTGGAAATTTTCTTTACTACTTTTTGTAATATCATTCATTTGGCTGGAAATTATTTGTAGTTATGCCCAGATGTGCATATTCAAGTATACGCTTATTCTATGAAAAAGTTCATATCGTGGTGATATTTGGAGTTCAGCTGCTTGCATCCTTCTAATTTATTTATTTTTCTCATATTAGGATGAGAAAAGACAGTATTTATGCATTCATCATAAAATTGGCGTGCCAAATCATTTCCGTGTCATATTGTTTGAGATCTATCAACGTCCCATGCGTTCCCTTAATTTGTTAGCGGATGTAAACTCTCCTTTATACTTGTACGTCTATCGTGTTTTCATGTGTATTTTGGGCTAAAATTGCACGAGGCTGTTTATTCCCATTTTACTGTCATCTGGTTTGTGTCAATCAATTTCGTACTGTCAAGCCTGCACTTTTATTCAGAAGCTAATATGTGCTATGATGTTCCGACTCGAGTACTGGTATCGGGTACTAGTATATATCCAAGTGTTGAATATTTTATTTTCTAAAACGTAGGATGCTGGGACATTTTTAAAAAGAGTCCAAATTTTGGATACTAGTATGTGGGTACGTCTTTCAAATTTCAATTTTTTTTTACTAATCCAGGATGTCATTTTGACTAGACCAAAACTACTTATTCACAATGAAGGAAATTGATATTTAATAAAGAGTTAAGACGAATAAAATAATAAATGTAGGATACGGGGACATAGCTAAAAAGAGTCCAAATTTCGGACACGGGTACGTGGGTACGTCTTTCAAACTTCAATGTTTTTACTAATCCAGGATGTCATTTTGAAAAGACCAAAATCAATGTTCACATAGAAGGAAATAAGTATTGAAAAAGAAGTTAAGACGAATAAAATTGAATTTTGAAGTTTAGCTTTCAATTATGAGAAGTTAATTACTAATGTCATGTTTGATTCACATTCTTAAAAAATGCATGCGTTCAATACTCATTTTCAATTATACAATTTTCAATAAAATAATATTACACGCAAATTCAAAAATTTTCCTCTTTTTTTAACCACATTTTCTATCACATCACTATTTAAAATACATTATTTACTCAAGAATATACATCAAACATGGGCTAAATGTTATATATAATAGAAAATGAGTAATTGCAAATTGAAATTAGTGGAGCACTAAGTAGCACTATATGAAATCTATTTTCATTTTATACAAACAAAATCCTAAACTACCTATACAAAGAGGGAAAAAAGGAAAAGAAAAAAGGGCAAAAAAAAAAAAAAAAATTTGAAGGGAAAACCTAGTGCCATTGCCTTTCTTCACCCTTTTGGCGGCGGTGCTAGATTTATAGAAAGCAGAAATAAAAAAAAAAAAGAAAAAAAGGAAGAGGGAAAAGAAAAGGAAAAAGAAGCAAAATAACCAAGTGTCCGGTTGAAACTTGAAAGATTTCATACATATTTCATACCCATATCCAAGTCGTGTTGTATTCGACATGGGTACCCCGACAATTTCGAAGAGTCCGAGCATCATAGAATCTATGTGTCAAGAGTAGAGATACTTTTGTCACTCTTTTCTAATATTTTTTAGCCTGTGTATTAAACAATCCCTGATTCCCACTGGGAAGTTGTTTCTCTCTGTAAACTCGATCCTTGTTAAGCATATGTTAAAAGAAACCCGAAAAGAAAAAGAAAAATTCTATACTTCTTCATGCTGTTGGGATTTAGTAGGGCTTTAAGCAGTGAGGCCATAGAGGTGCAACTGGCCTACTCTCTACTCTGTGTTAGTGGTCTTGAGGTGCTATTAAGCGAGGGATGGCAAGACCCATTCAACCCGACATCCGTGGGGGGCGGAGATTGCCCACCTAATTAGGTAAATGGGACGGGGATCGTTGTCCCAAAGCGGGTACGGGGAACATGGTCCAACCGCTACTTGTCCCGTTTAAAGTTAATTTCAAATTTAAGTTTTTCATCATCATTTTTAAAGGAAACATGAATTGTTCTTAACAAATTGGAAAGAAGAAGTAAAATATTCACTAATTAAAGATATAAAAAAATAAAAGCAAAAACTGAAAAAAAAAAAAAAAGGGCACCGAATCCGTCCCGTCCCGCTTTAACCGGGTATGAAGGTGGACAAGGTGACAAAATATGTGACGGAGGGGAACGGGAATGATCAAGAATTAATTTGCTGTAACGAAGGAGATGTAGCCTAATTGAATGGCTGCATAATGATCCACTGTATCTTGGAAGTGTATATGCATAATGTTTAAGAAAAAGGACACAATAACGTTCTTTGAACACACAAATCAATAAATTTCAATCAAAGTAAGTGAAGAAATTCAAACAAAATATTTAACCATACCAAGACCATCTTGGAAGAATTGTACTCTCAAGTACTGGACTAGTTCTTGTTACTGCTGCACGAGGCATTTTGCTGCTATCAATCCAATATGTATCAAGAAACTCTCCATCATCAGCTTCCTTTTCCATTTCTTGAGTTCTTTTATCTGCTACAGATTTTGCAACCAGAGTTGCAGCCAATCCCACTAAGATCAACCCCAACAACCCGAACAAAAACCCAATAACCCACAAAACCCACACCTTCTGCTTATTCTTGTTAGGAATGACTATCAAAAAATGGCCTTGAGTTTTACTGTAACACATATTAGGCAAGTTCATTTCACTGAGAAACACCTTCCCATAAGCATCAAATGCAGCACATTTTACTCTTTCTTGAGTGCCTTTGTCTACCATTGAAGAGTGAAATTCAATTGATATAGATTTCCCCCTAGTGTTGAGCTCGAGTTTCGAGATATTTTTGTTTCTGTTGCTCAAATGGGACGCATCATAAACCATGAAACCAACAACTGGGCTTATCAGAGAATAACCTGATAAGTTATAATATAGAGAAGACCAGTTGCCAAGATTATGGTACACAATGAGAATTCTTCTCACATATGGCACTGGTAGAGATTTTGGAGGAATATGAAAACCTGTGAAATTTGCACCTTTTCTCCAAAGGGTTTTGCTCCTAAGCCCGACAGCCGAAACCTTAATGCCTGCAAAATTTGCTGGGAGACTGGCATTGTGGAGTGCTCCGGTATGTGGACGTTCATTGATTAGAGCTTTATAAACATGATCGTGAAGAATGGCAGCCAAATCATCGTCAAAAGTGCTTTTATAGCAATGGATGGAAGAACAGAATTGGAGGAAGATGAACAAGATCAAGTGAAAACTCTTGTTTTGTCCCATGTAGTACAATCTGAAGAATCTGATGATCATTACATAAGCATTCATAAAGGGAAAATCTAATGTCTACAATTCACAAGTCTCATTCCAACGGTCAGTGTTTGAATTTGACAGAAATTTACATTTGCTATGATGATGTAAAATGCCTTTTTAAAAAGAGTTGATACATCCTTTATACTAGTACTTTTATTCTCCAACACTGTTACAAGTATTTGGAATTGCTTAATGTGCTTATACAAACGATACACATTTCACAAACTATGTAGGATTCAAAAGTAAGCTTATAGTCCATCCTCATCCCGAACCTGATCCAGTAATCCGAGGCAAAAGAATCCCGCCCCGTTTATTTTTCCATCCCGAGATATCTACCCTGATACAAACGTTATAAACTCACAAAGTAGTTTCACCAGACAACGTAGTCTCTACAACTTTCTCTCTTGAATTACAGTTCACAATAAGAATTTGCCCATTCCACACGGTCTATGCTTTTGTGATGCAATCATAACTTGGGGTCCCAAATTAATCATTTAGGCTTCCTCCAAAGGGTAGACAAAAAATGAAACTTTGCCCCATAAAAATGCGGTGTCAAGGCACGCCATACTTAAGTTATTTCTTTCCTTTTGGAGCCAGTTTAGCACTAAAATTATGGAGATAATCAATATAATAATAATATTAATGGTAATGAATCATTCTCCTTATTTACTTTTAAAAAGAATGTCAAAAGTCAAAAATTTGCTCCTCCTCTTTTAGGTTTTCACTTCCGTTTCTCATCAAGTAATATCGACCCCACTTATTTATAAAGCTTTTGGATAGTACGTGATCGCAAACATAGGATGGTCAAGCCCGATTCCTAAAGTTAGGGCATTCCCTACTATGAGCATATTCACAGCAGAACTAAATTAGTTGAATTTTTTGTCTATCGTCCAGTCGATGTCAACCATCTTCCTTCAATAAAGGCTTGGAGTAATTCGTGTTGGATTTATTAATTTGTCATGCGAACCTACGTAAGTAATTAATTGTGTATAAGATTGTTTTAAAATTGAGCACAATTAAAGTGATATAATAAATAATTAAATTGTTGGATTTATGATATCTAAATAAAATGTGGCCATATTATATGTGTAGCAATCGGATCCAATAGGGTTGTATTTGACAATGGGAAAAGTTCATGCATCAGGGATTAACTTTGACATTTGCAAAAATCAGGTGCTAAAGTTTTANTTTTTCATGAATTAATTAAATATATTTCACAATTATTATATTAAATTAAATATTTAACTGTAATATAATATAATTAACTCACCCACCTCCCCTACTACTCCGGTGACCGACGATCCCTCCAGCGACTGTTATCCGATCACAGATCAAAAATTTTGTAGGTCACAAATTATTTCGAGGTCACAATTGACTTCGTTGGTCACCGATCAAAAAATTTATAGGTCACAATTGACTTCGTTGGTCACAAATCAAGAATTTTATGGTTACAGATTATTTCTCCACCACGAATTAAAATTTTTTATAGGTCACAAATAGAAAAAAAACAAAATTTTTACTGGTCACAGTTTTATTACAGTGCGTCACAGTCACAATTTTTAGGTTACAGACACCCACCCTCAACTCATCTCATCCCACCCCACCCACTACCTCCACCACGAATTAAATTTTTTTATAGGTCACAGATTGAAAAAAAAAAGAAAAAACAAAGTTTTTGCTGGTCACAACTCTATTACAGCAAGTCACAGTCACAATTCTAGGTCACAGACGCCCACCCTCAACTCAACCCAACTCATCCCACCCTACCCATGACCGCCACCACGACCACCCCACAGCCACAGCCACAACCATTGTACACAACCAATAACAAAATCACCGTCACCAAATTATCTACAAGCCCCCATCAGCACCACCGTCCCCACCACCTCAACAACAACACCACTACCACCTGCAAAATCCATCCACAACCCCATCCCAAATCACTTCTGCCGGTGTTAGCTTAGATCACAGCTTCGTGGCACCACAAACCGCCACCACTAACACCCAAATCACACCACAAACCGTCACGACAACGTAAACACCACCAAAAAATTGAATCGAAAAATACCATAACCACTGCCACAGCCACACCAACACCACTGTTGAGAAGGAGACGAGAGGAAGAGGGGAGAGAGGAAGAGGGAGAGAAAATGGCGGCGCTGTAAAATTATTATCCCCAAATTTAGGCAAGAATCGTGGCTAAGACCCAAACCCTAATTTTTGTTTACGAGTACTCAAAATTATAACGGAGCAGGAATTTTATAGTGAATTAGAACACCTATCAGCACGAGAATTGCGTTTCTCTTCTTCAGAGAGCTGGACAGGCATTCTAAAGCGCTCGGCTCTCTTCACGTTCTTCTGAACATCAATAGCCGTCGCAGCGCTGTCAACATCATCAGCTTTCCCAGCCTCCGTGTTCGGCAAAACTTATGTGGAAGATTACTTATTCAGTTGGTGAGACGGGAGGGAGGGGGAGAAGAGGGAGAAGGGGAAGCGACGGGAATGGTGGAGAGGGAATTGAAAAATTAGGTTAAGAATGAGGTTTTAACATACTACCTAATTTTTGCAAAAATAAACTTAAAACATGATTTTTAAAACGTTAAACCTGATTTTTAAAAACGTCAAACTAAACCTCTGATTTTATGTAATTTTCCCTTTGACGATAGGCCAAAACATAATGGAAATATAAATACGGTTATGATCTTCAATTCACGTGTGATTCTCATTCTTTGTGTCATCCTATCAATATAAGAGTACAAGAGAAATCATATTGAAGATGAAGATAAAAAATCGACAATTAAGAAGAGGGATTGGAGCAATCAAAATGAAGAACATGACAATAAAGATTATGGAGTAAGAAACCAAATCAAGATCAAGAATTCAAGAACCAAAAGAGCCCATAATTGAGATTCAAAATCCAGTATTAAAGAATCATTTCCAAAGAATTAAGGTATGCTCTGCATTTAATAGTTCTCTTGGCGATTTGACATGAAAGATCTTGAAAATTAAGCAATTAAATTTTCTAGTTTTATAAAGTTTAAAGTTTCAGCAAGTGATATTAGAGTCAACTCCATGTTAAACTATTAATACTTAAAGACGAATTTTATGGTTGAAATTCACACATTAAATTTTATGATCTTTTGATTTGGAATGTGAATTTTAGCCATAAATTTCGCAATTCAGAATTTTTCAAGGAAGATTTTTAGGGCTGCAATTCATACTTTGGTTATATAAAATTTGGGATGAGAATTTCAAACACTAAATTTTAGTTTCTAGGAATTTTTCAAAAAATTCTAGTTTAAAACGGCAGCTGAGGTGCTTCGATGCCCGACGGCTACGGCGTTGTGAGACTAGTGCCACACCACCCAAGCTCACTGCCCAGGCAACACTGATTTTCTGTTCGGTTTTTTTTATCAAAACAAAATAAAAATAACATATAAGGATTAAAGGGCAATCAAATTCAAATCTTGGTACGAATATTTATTTCTGATTACTAATTTTAAAAAATAGATTAGTTGAAGCAAAAAGTTACCAAAGTAACATATCTTGCGTAAATTGATTTATTGGAATATTAGGAAGGCCGTGTGTATATAATTCATGCGGATATTGACTGGCCCAAAGGAATGTTAATATTTGACCGAATTATTTACACAATCGTGATAATAAATATGTAACAATTGTAAAAATTTTCATTATGTGAACATTGAGTCGGTTCAAAGATAGATTTGATATATGACCAAATTTATTGTCATTATTTGATTACGACATCAAGAGTGCCACTTATAAGTTGGTATTTCCGTTCAAAGACTAAATATCAATGTTGTGTTCGGTCTTTTGTGATGGGGCGTACCATTATTTGAAATTATTGATTGTCCAATACGGATTTTCATGTGAACATGGTATTTAGTTAAGTTCTCTATTATGTTAATCCATTAACTTCTACAATATTCATCTACATCAATTCAATTCATGTGTTTGAACCAAAGTTTAAGAGCTGGAAAGAGAACGTTTTTATCGAGCTCTGGCGGCATAAATCTAGACATTGCGTTAAGGACTGAACAACCCACTACTTTTATGGATAATTTTTTGCTAATAAAAAATGGGACTCAGATAAGTGGGATCGTTCAAACCGCATAAGTTTTATTATCATGAAGCGTAGAATTCCAACAGCATTTAAGGGCGCTGTGTCCGATAAGGTAACTACTGTCAAAGAATTTCTTAAAGAAATTGAAAAGTGCTTTTCAAGAAGTGATAAGACCGAAACTAGTACGCTTCCGGCGAACTTGATTTCCCTAAAGTATAAGGGTAAAGAAAATAAAATGGAGTACATCAGCTTGAGTTGTTTGATAACTTGCTCGTACATTTAGTTTTGATTTCTAGTCTTGACGAGCTCATTTCATATTGTGTGCAAAAAGAAGAAAGTCTAAAGTAAGAGAGAACTGAAAGTACTCACTTGACAAGTACATCTAAGGACAAGTTAAATAATGAAGAATTTGCATCTAGTTTAGTTCAAAAGAAATAGCAAAAACTTGAAATAGATTAATCAACTGGCTGTTACTTTTGTCAAAACCTAGGACGCATAAAGAGAGATTGTACTAAATGCCACGTTTGGCGTGTAAAGAAAACTACACTTTTCACTTCGGTTTGTTTTGATGATAATTTAATGTCAATTCCTAGACACACTTAGTGGATAAATTTCGGTGTCACTATTTAAATAAACATGTCCATGCTGGGTTGCCTGAACAACCTAAAACCAATTAATGCTAAAAGATTCATCTATGTGGGGATAATGACAAATCAGTTAAGGTTGAGGATATATGGGCTTTTAGGTTATTATTAAAGATTGGTTATCATTTAATTATGAAAGAGATATTTGTGGTATCATCTTTTAGACGAAATTTGTTTTTTGTTTCTATATTGCACAAATTTGGTTACTCTTGTTCTATTGGAAATAGTCAGTCTAATCTTTTTCTTAAATTAAATATTGTGGGTGTTCTTTATTCGATTATGATAACCTATATTTGCTTATGGGGTGTTTGAGAGAGATTCTCAAATTCTACAGTAAATCAATTCTCATTTTCAACCACACATTTTTCAATAAAATAATATTTTCCATCACATCAATAATTTTTTCTTCTTTTTCAACGACACATTTTCCATTATATCNTTCAACCACACATTTCACATCATATCACTATTCAAAAATCAATTCTTCCCCCCAAAAATTCCTCCTAAACAAGCTATTAATATGATTGCCTTTTATAGAGAAACCTTACATGTGAATTCAAGTGGTAATAAATATAAATTAACCAGTAAGAATTTAGCTTCATTATAGCAAAAACGATCAGATCATATCTCTCAAAAGAGAAACGAATAACTTGTGTCAGAAGGAAATCTTGATTCCCCTGATTATATGGACTTTAATGTTTGTATTAATTACATTAAGGGGAAACAAATAAATATAAGGAGATTAGATGTTAATAGAATTTCGACCGTCTTAGAACTAATTCATACAGATATCTGTAGGTCATTCCATTCGGTTTCTTAGAATGGTCAATAATCATTTATTACATTTATAGACAATTTTTTCTCATTATTGATACCTGCATCTCAATCATAAGGAATCATAATCACTGGACAAGTTCAAGACTTATAAGACTGATGTTGAAAATCAACTCAGTTTAAGAATTAAACAAGTCAAATTTTACCATGGTGGTGAATACTATGACTGATATGACGGATCAGGAGATCAACGTCCATGACCTTTTGCTAAAATTCCTAGAGTAGTGCGGAATTGTCCCACGGTACACCAAGTGAGGAACCTTTGGCATGAATGGTGTTATTGAGAGAGGAAACAGAACAATTAAGGACACGATAAGGGGTTTAATTAGTCATTTCACTTTGCCAAAATCTCTCTATGAAGATGCACTAAAAGCTGTAGTTTAAATTCTCAATAAAATTTTAAGTAAAGCAATTGTTAAATGGTTACAAATTTTTTTAAAGATTCCACTATTAGGTCAATTTTTCGAAACGAGAAATATCTGATTCCTTGAACATATAGAGTTTAATGGGGGGGGGGATAAGGTTTTAAGGATAAGGATTTTGTCTTTGAAGAATGATATGTATATATCTCTTCTGTTTCAATTAACAATGCTTGCTCCAGATCTTGTCCAAGAAGCAATTTCGGATCAAGACAATATTACAAAATCCTCTATGTATAATCGAAAGATTGTTCCAGAAAAATAAACTCATATCAAGACAAGATTACAAAATTCTCCATACACAATTTGGAGATTGTTCCAGAAAAATAAACTCAATAACCTCAAGACTAAATGCAATTAAGGAAATCTACTGGGAAAAAAAAAAAAGAAAGGCTACTCTGGATGACTTTATAGTGTTTCTCCAAGAAAATAAGGATGACATTTGATTAATGGAAGAAGATCTGATCAATCAACTTTTATCAAGCCATGCAAAAGAATAATTCTCAATAGTGGATTGATATCATGAATAAAGAGATAAAGTTTATGAAAGACAATAACGTTTAAGAACTCATCCCATTGCCTAAAGGTGCGAAATCCATTGATTGTAAATGAATATTTAAAATCAAGAGAGATTTGAAGGGTAAGGTGGAGAGATATATAATTCGACTTGTTGCAAATAGCTTTATTCAAAAGGAAGACATCAACATTAAAGAGACACACTCTCCAATTTCTATGAAACTTTTAGGACTATTATGACATATTTTGATCTTAAATTACGTTAAATGGTTTACAAATTTAAAAAAATCTATCTAAGAGCTTAAGCATGTTTCCCGTCAATGGTATCATAAATTTCATCAAATAATTATCTTGTTTGATTTTTAGATGAATTTAGTTGATGATTGTGTACACAAGTTCAGTGGGAGTAAAAATATTTTTTGGTATTACATGTCAATAACATATTGCTTGCCTGCAATGATAGAGGCTTATAGCACGAAATCAAGAAATTTCTGTCATGAAATTTTGAAATAAAAGATCTTGATGACACATTTTTGTGTCAAGGATACAGATACACTGGAATCGTTCACGAAGTATTTTTGGATTATCACAAAAGAGTTATATTGATAATGTTCTTAAGAGATTTAGGGTGCATTAATGTAAGGTGATACCCCTATTGCTAAATGAGACAACTTTAGTCTTAATCAATGCTCTAAGGATAACCTTAAAGAAAATGAATACAGAAAATTATTTGTATTTCAGCAATTGGGAGTTTAATGTATGATAAGGTTTACATAGGTTTGGATATGACATTTATTGTTTGAATGTTAGGCATATATTTAAGTAACTTTGAAATGAATATATGGAAAACAGCCAATTAGGTTATTCGAAATTTTTAGAGAACTAAGGATTAAATAATCACATACAAAAAATCAGACAAATTGGAGATCATTAGATATTCTGATTCTGATCATGGAATGTGAATGCAGAATTTTATTACTAGGATGCACATTTTGAATTGAAAGACCACTTAAATTATTCTATGACAATAACAGTTTTGTATTCTAATATGAGTTTGACGATATCAAAGTTTATAGACATCAAGTTTCTAGTTATTAAAGAAAGAATTCAGAGTGGTCAAGTTTCTATAAAACATATTAAGATAAACTTCGTAATTGTGGATCCATTTACTAAATGGTTGTCACCTAAGGTCTTTCATGAGCATACTGCTCACATGTGTATTGCATCTTTTGATGATATGCTAATTTAATGGGAGTTTGTATTCGAATGTTGTCTGTTTTAGACACATTTTTTTTATCTACGGATATTCGATTTATTTCAGAAATAAAGTATTCAATTCAATTATACTCTAATTAAAGTTTATGGTTGATCTTATTAAAGAATAAGATAAGACTAGTTGAAAATAAACATTTTTGGATCACATTGCATGTAATTTTCATGCTGCACATTCACACTTGATCTATATCATTTGATTGTGTTGATATATGTGACCATTGTGGGTTTAGTTATGATATTTGTGACGAAAATTGCTTTGATCCCATATAGATATAATCAATGGACGAGATTGTTTGAAAATGCTTCTGGTTATAATAGCAAAAGTTTTGACGTCATAAAGTTATACATATTTACCAGGTAACATATGTGGTCCAAGTAAGAAATTGTTGGATTTATTAATTTGTCATGTGGGCTTATTATGTAATTAATTATGTATAAGGTTATTTTAAAGTTGAGCTCAATTAAAGTAATCTAATAAAGAATTAAATTGTTGAGCTTAAAGCATTTAAATAAAGTGTGAGCCGAAGAAATCGGATTCATTAGGATTGTATTTGACGATGAGCCAAATACACATGTAAATATAAATAAGGTTATGATCTCCAATTCATATGT